ATATTACTAATTGCTATAACTGCATCAAAATAGTTAGAAATTTTGAACGAGATGCCTGACTCCACAGTACTTGTATAAATTACACAATCAAGACCACTCCAGATAGCATTAATATCAGTAAAGTCATCTTGGCGTTGTTTTCCATCCATTTGACTAAAATAAACTTGTGATAAAACACATGAACTGTCTGATTTTTGCAACTTAGATGCTTGATTAGCTATTGCCCAAGCCTTTTTGCAGGAGATCATTGAAAAGACAACACGCTTACTTTCTTTAAGCATCTCAAGACCTTTACGTATAGCTTCTGAACCTTTATTTGAATTATAAAGGATTTTTACGGGTTCACTTTTACGTAGCTGATACTTATTATCAAAAACTCAGATGTTTTCACCCTGGTATTGTTTTAAGAAAGCTAAAGTCAACTCATTTGCAAAAGCATCCATGGCAACCATGTGAATAGCTGACTTTAACAAATTCTGCATAGCATTTTTAGATTCTCATACATGAATTCCACTTGCCATTTGACGCATAATACTATTCGCTTCATCTAAAATAACTACATGAGAATGACCCCCATAAAAATTAAGACGATGTGTACTTTTGACCTGAACAATAATAACATCCCAGTCACATATAGCTAAATTATCTTCATTTTCCTGATAATAGCATACACGAAGCCTAGATTTTTGTAATACTTCGATTTTACTTTTAGTTTCATTACTAAAAGTTTTATGATATGAAATCCAGTTAAAACAAGGTAAACTTGCTTCACTTTTAGCTAAAGAATTAAGAATCTCTCTTAAGGTTTTTGTTTTTCCGCTGGCAATGGGTGAGCGAATTAGGTTTGTAGTAAATTCTTCACTCATGAAATCTGGATAAGCTTCTGGGACGTTTTTCATTTCATTAATATTAATATTATTTCTAAATAATTCTATGAGTGGGCGTAGATGTTTTACAGCCTTGATCAATTTTTCAATTAATCTCCACTTCATGAGTTTCACTTCTGATTCGACTTTATTTGATACCTTATCGAAACTAAGCTCTTTGTGATCTGGTTTATATTGTTTTTGCTAATAGCACTTGAGTATAAAATGTCCATTTTTTCGAATAAATCTGTAGAGTTGGTCTTTTTTATATTTAACATCACATATAGGACATTCTTTAACAGATTGTGCTTGAAAGTTGATGAATCCCTTCTCGATTCTTCCAATCTGAAGCCACCCATATTTTGCAATAACTAGATTGGCACCTCTACTCAAAGCATTTTCATCGTCAATAGGTTGTGATTTTTCTTTTACTAGCTCCTCAGAAGAAAAGGTTCGTAGCAAGATTACAGAATAATTTTCTTTAGGCTGAACCAAATAATCATTTAGATTTTTAAATCCGTTTTTAACAGAAGAAATAGCAGGTCTTTTAATATGATGTTCCTTAGCTGATCCCAGAAGCCGAAGATTAAAATGTGTTTTGGGAAGGCCATAATCAATAAATTTCAAATAAGGTTCCCCAACTAATTCTATAACTTTTTCTGTGAATCCCTTAAGTTTTCTATAATCTATGAATTGGGCACGAGGATAAATAATATACCAACTACATTTCTTAGCGTTCGATAAACTTGCTAAAGCAAAAGAATTTAAGAAAGGCATACAATCAGGAATGCATCTGCACAAGCAACTAAAATTCGAGATAACAAATCTTCTCATGTAATTTTTTTATCATCTAAAGAAGGCACTTTAGGATTTGTAGGATCAGGCTTTTGCCTTGTATCAATATCAATAATCAAATGAAGAGGCTGGTTACCATCAATACATTCGTAAGTATCAGGTATTCTATAAACTTTAGAGGGATGATCGATCACTGTATGTATAACCTTTTCCTGCCATTCGAATTATATATTGAGAATAAATTTCTTCAGGTCAATATGTATCTAAAAGCGCAGTATCATTTCTATCAGAAGAGCTAGTATGGCCATGACCCTTTAGGGTTGCCCTTTCGGGCCTAGATACAAGCCAGTATTTATAAAATATATATTTTTTATGGCCAGGTTTATAATCAAGATCTATTAAACCTGTAAAAAGCCTTTTTGCTTCATTATATTTGGCTGACTTTTGATTTAAACACTGTTGCTGCAACGATTCATAAAGACATTTTTTTGCTTCACTAGACAAACTCATTTTATTGATTTGTATATATGTTGTTTGTATATGTGCGTTGTTTG